TATAACAAAAGAACATACTTTTAAGAATTTAAATTAATGCCAGTAGGTACAATAAATATATTATTAGGCTTAATTTTGACCCTTAGGTGACAGGATCGAATTGGCACCATTATGTGACATTGTTCATCGAAGTACAGATGCAGTTCATGCCATATAAGTTGGCAACTCTAATTTCGTATGTATAAACGTTCGGTGTTGCCAGTAGATAATTAAATCAATCAATTAAAAAATGGAAACAAATTTAGTATTTAATATTTCTTAGTTTATGCGACGATGTAAGACACTAGAATTCTTAGGTCACAGGACCTACCAATTAGTATCTACACAAAATCAATTATAATCTGGCAACCCTGAATGGGGGTTATACAATACGTAAGGTCAAACGCATCAGCTATACCCTCTTCCGTCCAGCATTATACAATTCAGTCTTTACAATTCACTATGACGACATTTGCCCAACTTTGAGATTGCTACTTTATATGGCACGAATATACTATTATAAATTCATGCTATCTTAGTACTTTCTCGTGGATGGTTTTGCAAAAAATAATCGCTTATTGAATATGCAATGTCAAGAGTTGAACTGCTTTTTGAGAAGCAAAATAAAGTAGAATATATGCAAACAATTTATGCTGTTGAAATATTATTTTAAAATAAGTAAGTTGTAAGAGTACATAGTTTTTTCTAAACTTCCTTCTCAATTTGATTCAAATCAAAATTTAGAAACATAATTCTTAGGCTGATATCATAGACAGAACAATAGTAGCGCTATATCGTTAAATACAAAGACAAGAAATGGATAAAGAGAGATCATCATTGTCTTTTTTAGTTTGGGGGTAGGTAGAGACTATAAAACGCATCACTTCAATATAACAGTAATATATTATTTAAAGTTGTAGAATTAACAAAATACAAACGTATATTTAATCATTTTATTAGCTCCAATTGTCCATTTGCTGCCTTGTTTGGTATTCCCTTCTTATTACATGTGATACATATTTATTTGGTTATTTCATATTACATTTAGGTTACATATGAATGCATTTAGAGGCATATCGTAAACAGAAATGCAGGAGCCACATGTTTTTAATCCAAAACGTCAGCATAGAAATTTCTGGACAATCTAGAAATTGCTTTGCTAATAATTTGTATTTTTTTGTATGTGTATGTCAGTGAGTTGTTATTAGGTAAGCTTGTAAATCCAGAATTTTTAAGATACAGTCGTTAAATTCTATCTGTAGATGTGTGTACCTACAGAAGACATGAATGCTAGGTAATAAACTCAAACACTAATGTAATAAAGTCTATTTTCCAAAATTTAATTTGTTATTTCTTACTAAACGAATATTCATCACGACGCATGTGTGGCTCCCACAAAGTGATAAAATGAACAATGTAGTGATTACAAATACATTATTGCTATTAATTTCATGGCAGATAACAAGTACAGGTGTAGATGTATATAAATATATTGTTGAATAGAAATAATATATACATTTAGTGTTACAATTTCGATGTCATCTTATATTTTTGTAGTGTTTGTATAATTTACAAGAGCGAGCATCGAACCAGTGGACCGCAGCCACTCAATATTCAACAATGCATAAATCAACGACGCACCGACGTGGCTATTTAAAATAATCACCAGTAAAATTTCACCTCTAACAACATGTTATTAAACTCTTAAATTATATTATCATTATATATCACAAACAAAATACGAGTTGGCTATCGCCTTAATGGTGGATCTGTAGCGACCAAGTGTTAAGTCTAATTCAATTATAAAACTAGAGAGCTGATTAGGTAAGTCTGTTGCAATCTCTCAATACAAACAGTTAGCAACTTTATAAAATAAATCTTACTTAAAAGCATTTTGGTTTAAGGCAATTAGTTATTTATTAATTCGTTCGTAATATTAGTGTGTTTATAAAAGTATTTTTTTTATCCTGGTTAGGATAACCAGGATAAAAAAATTAAAGGAAAAAGAATTGCGCCCATTTAGCCATGCCTGCATATTACATGTGTTTGATGTTCTTAATTTTATTAGTTTATTTTATATGTATTGAATTGTTGAGACAATGCAATCGTAATGAACAAAAAATGTCCTTGAGTCTCTTAATAGTTCCTGAAGATTAATTATTTGACAGATAGGCATACAAATCTGATGACAAAATTAATGTCGCGTCTTAAATTTCATAATGTAAATTAGACTTAAAAAAAATATTGTCAGGTTAGGTCGCTATAAATACGGCTATACAATGCGGTGATATTTCAATGACAATACAGTGGATCTAAACAAAGCTTTGTGGATTTTGTGATACACACTCAATAACTGCATTAACTCAAACAATACAATTATTGTATAATTAACTTTAACGTTAAGTATTTATAGTTCATTTCCAAAAAAGTTTAATAATGAGTTAATGCATTTATTTTTGATCGTGGTAATAATTTAAATAAATGTTTCTATATGAATGAAATAATTCATAAACAAGTTCAGTCGAGTAACAACGATACAATGATCGTGAAATAATGTATTTTATACATTTATCAAGTGTCGAATATACAATATAACTCCTAAGCGACGTTATTAGTATGAGATCGACTGACAGTTGTGTATTAGGTGGGACTTAGACGTTGCTCAATCATAGACACTCTTAGCGACCACAGAATATAAAATATTGTTGTTTCTGAGTATGGTGAAGTAAACATTCCTATTTATTAATAAATAAATTAAAAAAAATAGTCCTGTAAATTTTAGAATTCTGAAGCAAATTTCTCTAAAGCTGTCTCGCGAAATTATTTTATGTAATACCATAGAGAAAATTTAAAGTACATTACGTTTAAATACATTAATTTAGTTCATGTTAGTCCATAGAATATAGATTTCGCTATGGTTTAGAGTACAGTGCCGCCTGAGTCCTCCATACCACTTGTCTAATGCACCAAGCAACTTATTCGAATATAAATCTTCTGTTGTGTGCAATATAACAATATTTCATGTTTTAAATGTGCTTACTGATCTGCTAATACCATCTGTGGCAAACCTAGAAGTAAAATCAAGTTGATGCATAGAATATGAGAAAAAGTCTCCAATAAAATCGAGTGAGAGATAATGTTGCTGACAGGTTACAAAAAAACTTGTCAGCAAAAATAGCAATATTTAATATATACTTATGTACACAGTTTAGTGTGCATATTCTGTACTAGTGTCTACATATTCCAATAACTAAGAAACGAAATAATTTAATAAATAATTAAACAGACAAAAATGTACACGATAGAATAATCAACCTATATGTAATGTTTTAAACAAATTTCTCTCTGGAAATCGCAATTTACACTCCAAGAGTAAATACAATAAAACTTATAATGTTAAAGCATTTATATAATACACTATATGCAACACGTAAATCTAAAATTGAGACAAGTTGCTTGTTACATCAAGACCACGCTCTTAAACTTATTTTACAATCGCCAGTCGACCTACGAGTGTGAAACAAAACTATGTACAAAAAAAAGTATAATGGAACAAATGAAACGCTATTATACAAAATAAAAAAAATAAAACATTGTCTATACAAAGCTTACAAACGGCCAGTACCACGCACAGTGTACATATATATACGTCCAGCGTTAAATCCTGGATGGAGAAAATTAAAACACATATGCATTATAGTTCGTAGTATGATGGACACATCACAGTTCATGAAATGATCACGGTATAAAACTTGTCTTCGCGTAACAACATTCACTAGTATTCATTTTCCTAACTACACTAGCCGCTCGGCCCGGCTCCACTTGCATCCCGCGAACCGCGATAGACTAGATTCTACAGTCTGTTTAACTTCACTTGTCCTTTTTAATCAACAATATTGCCTGTCATTTTATTTTCAAATATTAGTCTTTGCAATATCGCAGAACGCCATCTAGTTCTAAATTTAGCAGAGCTTCTTATGTGTGTACTGGATAACTCATATTAAATATTGAAATATATTTATATACATGCATAGTAAACACTTAAAACCGATATAAAAATAATATATTCAATACAAAAGTTTGTATTGTGCATGGATCAAACCAACGCCGTGTTAAATAGTTATACATATTAAAAAAGAACAAAGCTGTATAGTTTTGTATCATTATCTTTCCATTGGTACTAAATTTTTTAAAAATGAATCATACCAATACAACATATCATGAATTTAGAACTCTATGGCACAGTGCGATTAGACTATGATTTATAAAAAAAAAGCTTGTTCACGAAATAGGACAAGTAAAGTAAAACAGAGTACACTAATTTTGCTCAAACCGTTACCCAACATGTTCAAAGTCAATCCAGTGCACAATAAATACAACACAAGCACTTAACAAATGTTAAATCTATCTGTGAAATTTTCTCCTTATTTTTTTCTATAGATAAATTAATTATCCATTTATGATGTCAAGTTAATTTCTCCAAGCAGTTTGACTAGTAACAGAATGCTATAACCATTTAGACCTACATCTTACTGAGCGTAATTCTCATATAAATAGGCAGCAATTGTCTTTGTCTAAATAGTTTTAATAGGGACATAATGAGTTTCATCTCTATGTTGCCGCTAGTATCTCTATGCCCATGTATACGTTTCACATACTAGGATATCATAAATGCGCAGTATAGTTAGTTTCTCTTTATTATTCGGGACCTAGTGAAAGTAACATTTTATTGGCGATGACGGTAATTATTGATTAATAATATAGAACCGACTTCATCTTCAATAAAACCGTGACAGAAACATAAAAATATGTTCAAACAAAAAACAAACTTAAAAAATATACACGACAAATATACATCAACTTCCTTCTATTTTGAAGTAAAAAAATAGTGTAAATCGTACCAGAAATCAACAAAAAGTCCATACATAAAAATCACACTGGCTAATATAAGACGACTTCCTTTATTAAAGTCGCTAAAAATGCAAAAGTATGGGATTGGCTTACACCTATATATATGTATGTAACCGCATGGATAATGTATTCCATACATATCGTGCTCCCTTAACCGATATCGCAAATAAAACGCTACTTTCGTCTCCCACCTCTTCGTCCGTACGACGCCGGTACCAGGACGTCATAGGTGCGCGAGAGGTTCACGCGAACGGCACAAAGACCTACAGATAGTAGCGGAGATCGCGGCTCAGTTGAACGTGTGTTTGAGTAGCGTGGCGACGTGAGCGCGCGCGAGTTTAATCACGGGGGCGGTCACGGTCACGGGGGCGGGGGCGGTCACGGGGGCGCGGGCGGTCACGGTCACTCGGGCGGGCGCGGTCACGGGCGTGAGCTCGCGTCACCGCTGCGCGCGACACCGCCGGCACACCCGCACCGACCCGCAGTCGCCCCACGAGCTCATCTCGGAGCACGATCCGCAGAAGATGCCGCCACACCGCCTGGTGACAAATGTATCTATCAAATATCGTAGTCACATGGGGCTATTCATACTACGTCTCACGAATTACATAAATTTTTACTGTTTAACTCATCTGTTCTAAGCTGCAGACGTGAGACCGACGTAGCCAGGACGACTTTGTACTGTGTACCTCAGAGTACATAAATCAAAGCTTAGATAACTATTTATTCCTGATATTTGTCCTTGATGTCCTTCCAAAGTTTTCTCCTGCCTTGTTAATACTCTCGAATATTCAGAGATTACATCAAATTCTCTTTCGAAGAAGAATGTTCTTAACTGAGGCAACAGCAATTGAAAAACTAGATGTGCGTTTAAATACGACATGGTTTAAAAGTTTTTCGACAGGAAAGATATTTTGGATAATCAATAACAAGAACATTGTTATTCAGTCCGATTTTGATATAGTACCTGCAGTGGTGGCGCCGCCTGGCGAGCCAGAAGTGGTTGCTGCAGTACTGGCAGCGCGGCGCGGCGCTGTCCGGCAGCCAAACCACGCCGCGCGCCTCCTCTCCCACCTCCACCTCGGACGCACTACCGCTTCCGCTTCCGCTGCTGCTGCCGCTACCGCGCACGCTTACGCTTCCGCTCGCACTCCCGCTACTCGCCATCTGCGACATCATGCACAGACCGATTAACATTAGGTTTCCAAGTTTATGAAGTAAAGCTTTTATATAGTTGGGCTGTATTAAGATTTTTCGGTCTCAAATAAGCGTTAATGAATGCTACCTGTGTGGGCGAAGCGACAAGTGGTGGTGGCGCAGCCACGGGCGACGCTAGCCGGAGAGCTTCGCGCGCCTCTCTGAGTTGTCCGCTTAGTTCCTCGACTACTTTCTGCAAAGTTAAAGATATCCATTAGTACTTTTACGTTTTACCCATTTATTTAAGTTTACAAATAGTCGGTCTATTCTTAAGTTCGATATCTTTTTGTCATTCGCTTACTTATTACAGTGTAAACCAGGGATTGTAAACATTTATTCGGTAAAATAAAATACCACAGGTAATTAGAAACATGCCATTAAATAGGTTTAAAGTAGAACTACACAAATGGCTCGTAAAAAATGCTGTTACTCTTTGCGAGAATTGACGTAACATTTAATCATTTAAACTTGTTTATTAATATGTAAGTAAAAAAAATTGTAATTTGCACGCCTTTTTGCCATTTCCTGAATATGAGGCGACAACGGTATCCAAATCCTAGTAAGACCTATACTGTAAATGTTCAAGTAAATAAATGATCTATCTATCTGTGGGTGTGTGGTGGGTACCGACCTTCTGGTGGAGGATGATCTGATGCAGACGCGCCTGCAGCGGGTCGGTGGCGGGCGGCAGGCCGTCGAGCGCGTCGGCGGCGGGCGCGGCGGGGGCCGGCCCGGCGGCGCCGCACACGCAGCGGACGCCCCCGCCCCACCACCACTCGGAGCTCGTCGCGGACTCGCCAGACGTCTCCACGCCGCCTGAGGACCACATATCTCGGTCACTTCACATCACACTTTAAAAGTAGAGTATATTTCAACATTATTATATGGTCGACATGTATACGATATATAAAGATATTAAAACCCGAAAACAATAATAAGATAACTTGAAGAAAATGCCTTATGGTGTTAAGTCCTCCGTATGCATCTTTAAGTTTTAATAAATATATAATTAAAATAAGTATGATATTAGTATGGTATTGGTATGAGGGTGAACATAATAATGTAAAAATACAGAACAAAAAACGTACTGATGACCTACTGATATCACTTCGATCTTGAGTATGAATCATTTTAAACTTGATGAAATGACTGATCCAAGTTTACTTTAATATGCTTTATAGATTTTTCCAAAAATGAAAAGCAGCGCCAACAAATCACTAAAATCGTGAGACTGCAACAACCTTCATATATACCATATTTTATATATATACTCCACGAAAAGTTAATATGTATATGCACCACATTAGCAACGTTAATAAAGTTACACCGGTCTATTTATAAAAACCGTGAATACAAACAAAAAAATTTAAGTACTACAAAAAAATATCCACTTAAGAGAGTATCCACCACGTTTAGGAGTGTGAATATTGGGTAGCGAGTGGGTGGGGTACTGACTGGTGGTGCTGGCGCGGCGGCTGCAGTGGCAGCAGGGCTGGCGGCGTGGCGACGCGGGGCACAGCGTCAGCTGGCTGGGCACGCGGCCGCGCGCGTGCGCCGACCTCCGGCCGCACGGGCCCGCGCCCCCCGCCACCCCCGCACCCCCCGCACACCCCGCGCCCCCCGCCACCCCCGCCACCCCCGCCGGGCCCTCGGGCCGCGCGGCCGACACCAGCGGCGCTCCCGAGGCCGCCTCGCCCTCGCTCTCCGACGATATGCTGCTAGATGTCGCGCCACCTGTTATACAGATATTTATTTGTTTAGTAAAAGTAGTAATCGTTGTCACTAATGTTTGATTAAACTTGTTTGACTAAATTTTATTAGTGTTCTTTGCTAGTAATATATTAAGTTGGACTGACCTCTACGTAGCTTTGAAAACTATCACGATTAATTACTGATGAATTCACCACGATGGACTAACTAATCTTGACTTTCTCCTTATTATATTATGTTCCACTTATGTCTGTTGTAATTTTTTTTTTCTTTAAGTGTAAATGAAAATTGTTATTCTTCCACTGTATTATGTATACCACAAAAAACCCAAAACTAACCTGATTTCGTTGCCGTGCTTAGAACATAGCGGAAGAACTGCTTTAGACTCCACAATGGTCGTAGATCAAATAGCTACATACTACAGACTTCACAATATATGGTGGCCTTTGACATCTATATCGCAAACTAACTGTCAGCCATTTGACATTTCAGTCACTAAAAAATTAAGGTGTCTTCTCACCATTAAAATCGACATCCAAAAACTTCCCGGTGACTTCGTCATATCCGTTGACATGTCCGTTGGTCCCGTTGACGTGTCCGTTGGTCCCGTGGTGCGCGGCCCCGTTGAGTGCGGGGCCGGGCGCGGAGCCGGGCCCGGGGCCGGGCCTGGTCCGGGCCGGGTACTCGTCGCCCGAATGCGCGTCCGGGGACCGTCGCGTCTCTATGTCGAACCCGCTCGACGACGGATTCGATTGGTTACTCGATTCTGATATAGACCGCCACGTGATACTGATGTGACGGGAACGACCGGACTCTCTTGCCGCCTGTACAAATTAAAAGATATTGTAATTAAAAAAATACTGAGTTATACTGAAGTATGCATTGTTATTTAACATGACGTTAATGAAGCCCAAACTTGTTGGAGTTGATTGGTTTTATTACAGAGTTTCTACAATATATTTCCAATTCAATTAGATGTATGTATGTATGTATGTATAGTTGGCTTAACAGCACCTACTCATAGTACTACTTTAGTCGTAGTGGTTATTATACATTATATAAATATATTATCTCCTTTAACATTGCAGAATTTCCATACTACACCGACCCCAAATGAAGGGATAAAGACAAGGCAAGGTAAGGCAATGACGTAATAGGTACAATCACCATCAGGATAACATAAAACACTCACATCAGCTATCCCGATGACATCAGTATACGTGTCGCAGAGAAAAACCGGCTGCTCCTCCGGCGTGCCCACGTCGGGGGTGGCGCGGCGGCAGCGCGGCCCGTCCGTGACGTCACCGCCCCCCGCCGCACACCCCCCCGCGCCCCCCGCACCCCCCGCCGCGCCCTCCGCGCCGCCCAGCTCGCGCTCCAGCGAGGACGAGCCGCTGGCGAGGTCGCGAGGTATCCGTTGACTTTCGAAGTGGTCGGGGTGAAGACTACCAACCTTTAGTAAAAACAAAAGAGATGACATTCATATAAACTTGATATATATGTATGTGAAAGTGTTTGTCTTAGAAGTGGTAGTAGTATATATTATATAGTACAAATTTTGGAAAATCTACTCAAAATGTTTAACGTTAATTTAAAAGAGCTTATAGCGCGCGCGGTCGTAATCGTTCTTTTTTTTTTATTAATAATGGGATTGCGCTTGGTCTTACCTCATCTGATGGTAAATGATGGCAAGACCTAGGATGTAGCGCGCTTACCCTTCTCTTCGTCACACTTTTAGATACACATTTTTCTACCGTGCTATTAGCGCGTGATAGAGCATAAAGCGGGTAAAGGTAGCTATTAGCAATAAAAAAATTATTATAAAGATTGTGTATGACATAGTATTTTATTTTATACATCCAGCAGTGAATATCTACAGGGTGTTTTCACGAAATATATATTTTATTGTATATCTACAGGATGAGCTTATAGCGCGCGCGGTCGTAATCGTTCTTTTTTTTTTATTAATAATGGGATTGCGCTTGGTCTTACCTCATCTGATGGTAAATGATGGCAAGACCTAGGATGTAGCGCGCTTACCCTTCTCTTCGTCACACTTTTAGATACACATTTTTCTACCGTGCTATTAGCGCGTGATAGAGCATAAAGCGGGTAAAGGTAGCTATTAGCAATAAAAAAATTATTATAAAGATTGTGTATGACATAGTATTTTATTTTATACATCCAGCAGTGAATATCTACAGGGTGTTTTCACGAAATATATATTTTATTGTATATCTACAGGATGATATAAAACGTTCGGCTTACATGGTGTTGTTCCTCGTGGACGGGCAGCACGGGCAGCTGGTCGACGCAGCTGTCGGTGAGCGCCCCGCGACACCCGCGCCGCCCCGAGCACTCGCCGCCGCCGCCCGACACCGACAGCTTCCTACACCATGACACAATGTTTCTATTACGATAAATGTTCATAATTAAAAAAAAAACAAATACTTCAAAAGCTAGAATTTATGTAAAATCTATTACGTTGTCATTTAATGTTTACTAGTGTAATAAAGGGTATATTGCTTTGTAAGAGGTGTTTCGGTTGTAGGGTGTATATTAGGCAGTAAAATTCCAGGATAAGAGGCAGGACATCGTAGTGGCATGATATATATGTATATGCGATTGTCGCTTATTCATTGTAAGCGACAATCGTTGACAGATAAGCATTAAGAGGTTAAGAGCGGAACTTCTTAGAATTCAATAGATTCAACTTGCCCGATGATTCAAGGGCACCCTTGTTCCACTGTAAAAAGGAAGAAACTTCTTCGATTGTATATTGTAGACAATATACTTACATAACATCGGCTGCAATGCTGGGATCGCTGCAGCGTCGCTGCGCTGTTCTCTTCTCTCCTTCCGCCAAAAGATTATCGCAAGATCTTGTTTTTGACATGCCTGAAACAGAAAAGCCAAATGTCAATGTTATTTATAGCTACGTTTCTATTAAATTATTTGCAACATTTTGTACCTGATTTTTTATAAACTCAAATGTATAAAAACCAGTGTACTAAGGGCTAAAATAATGGTATTTTAATATGTGAAAAATACTATAGTATAATAATATAGATAAATCTAGATCCAGTTGTCAATAAATGTGGTAACATATAACACTTGACATGCCTGCATTTCCCTGAACTTATTTGAATTTAACATTATAGGAAGCGACTTTACTTTTTGCCGTGTTAGAACATTAATTTTCGTTTATTATCAGTGTTTCAGCAACAGAGATTTTAATTTTGGCTAACTCAGCCGGAAATATGAATTAACATACAAAGATTATGGGATCTAAATGGAGGTACTAAATCACGAGGCCGTGCCGTGTAAACGCAAAAAAATTATAATGAACGTATTATTCAAATTATTATACAGTAAACACTGTTTTAAACTTAAATCGCCGTTGTTTAGCTCAATTCAGTCGACTCGTAATCAAGATGTTTGTAATAGAGTCGAAATATTGGGAGTTCATTAAAAATATTATCATTGTAAATATTTCGTTTATTATATACTATTTTACTTCATGTTACTATCATTATTATATACTACATGTGTTCTAAACCGAAATCCAGATTTGCATATGATATAAATAGTAAATTGGTAAGTACCGGTGTGTGAAGTACGCGGCTGTGCGACTGCGGCGTGCGGGTGTGCGTCCGGGGGCGCGAGCGGTGCGAGCGGTGCGAGCGGTTCGAGCGGAGCGAGCGACTCGAGCGGCTCGAGCGGTTCCAGCGACGCCGGCTCGGGCTCGTCGGCCCGCTCGTCCCGCTCGCCGCCGTACATCGCCCACCACAGCTGCAGCGAGCGCACGCTGCACTCCGGCCATATCACCTGATAAATTACATAATCTTAATAAACAAAACTTATTATTACTTATTATATTAAATCGTCGGATAGGGCAGTAATGGCGACTAGCAAGCCTATTGCTAGCTATAGATCCTATCAGATCCACCTCAAAATGGTCCAAGGTTTTCCCCTTTAAACTATAGTGGATTATTTTTCCTGGTGAATACATCGAGATCGGTTCACCGACATGACAACATTAGTGAGCATGAAGCTCAATCTATCATTCTCCACAGGCACAACGGCAATGCACAACGTTAGAGCAGGTATATAACATTGCATTATAATCCTAAAAAATATGTATTTCAATGATCCAAATTAATCAAATTTATCTATATATCCACGTGACGGTCACCTCTTACCGTCAGTCAGTATGGACTCATAAGGTACCTGTTCTGGATGGTGCGGCGAGTAGAGGTGGTTCCTGTAGGCGGGCGCGGCCAGCAGGTGCCACACGCACGAGGTCAGGTCGGCCAGCCGCGCGTCGCCCCGCTCGCGCGACGTGTTGCACAGGAACGTGCCGAACATGCACGAGTGCACGTGCGTCGCCAGCTTTATCTGCAACACGTTACGCACTTATGTACTCCTGGTAGTCGAACGGCGTGTTTCATGTTGAAAAACCATCTTACTAATATTATAAATGAAAAAGCTCGTGAGTATGAATGGATGTTTGTTATTCTTTCACAAAAAAAAACTACTGAACGGATTTTGATGAAACTACAGTCAACTTATATATCAGAACAATACGTAGGCTATAATATAAGATATTAAGTGTAAATTGGGCGAAGTATACTGATAAGTTGCGCGAGTCAGCTAGTATTATTATATACGTGCGTTATGATGATTATAATACATGAGGCGGAATTTTAGCCCAAGCAAAAGACATCTTCACTATAACTTCACTACATCCTATCAATATCATTAATTAAAAAAATAATTTACCAAATAAGCTTCGTTGAACTCGAAACTGCAGGGGTACTGCAACATCAGTTGGTGTACGACATCGAGCCACTGCAGGAAGATGGGTGACCTCTCGTTGGGATCCTCAGAATTGAACTGGTGGCCACACCGATCCGCGAACTTGTGACCGAAGTCAAGCCATTCACGTTCAATCAATATCCGGAAGCCCTGCACAACAACACAAGTCTATTAATATTTATATATGAATAATGCACATACTGTATCTTAGGGAACTTGCCATTCAATTGATGGGTAAAGCTTACAAATTTGGCGGCTGAAATAGGTAAGACAAAGTAGCAAATGCTTTTTGGTTTATAAGAAGTATAAGTAGTTTTAAATTATACCTATAATAGTAAAGTATAATTGCAAAACAATGATATTATTAAGAGCAAGAGCCCGGAGTGACTACTCCGGGTCGTCGCTGTACTTAGCGGGGTAGAGGCCCGTAGTATATACTAGCCTGCATGGTGCGGTAGTAGGGGTCCAGCAGCAGCTGAGCGGCGGCCACTATCTGCGGCGTGCGGTCCCAGCCGTCCGAGCAGTGCACGAGCGCGGGCCTGCCGCCCGCCACCGCCCGGGCCACCACGCCCGCCGCGCGCAGCACGCCCGCCACGTACTGCGGCCACAGCGTGCGCTCCAGGTTGCTGTGCCAGCTGCAATCACATAACACCGGCTTAAGTCTCAATCAACCGATTAAGTATCGAACAAATCGATAAAGATCTTCCTATCACCGAATTACACGACGAATGGTAGAACTTCATTCTTACGTCGTCGAAATTCCACATATTCGCATCAAGCGGTTCGCATCGCCATTTTTAAAACTCACAGCCAAAGAGAACACACTTCATGTTCCCGGAGAAACACATCACCGGATTCTTAAAGTCTATGCTGAATAGATATCTTCTGGGTAAGCGCGCTACATCCAAGGTATTTGCCATAATTTCCCATCACATGAGGTAAGACCAAGCGCAATCCCATTAATAATAATAAAAAAAAGAACTGCGTGTCGTCACATCAAATAAAAAATAATTTATTCATACACTGCTTAAAACGCTAAGTTTTTTGTATTAATATTTTTTCTCATCGTCATAATAATAAAGACTTTACGCTTAAAATTGTTTGTTACGCACATGAACTGTATGTCGGCGGCCAGGTAGTACTAACGATTATTTAGTCTACTCCCGGTAGCTAATTACGATAACAGAGTAGTGAGACCCACTTGGCCTGGTCGCTGGGCTCGGCGACGAGCGCCCGCATCTGCTGGAAGCTGCGGCGCACGTGGTGTATGTTGGGCAGGCACATGAACTGTATGTCGGCGGCCGGGTAGTACTGCTGGCACTCGCAGCCACCTCCGCGCGCGCGGTTCGTCACCGCTGACGCGTAAGAACGCGCGTCCACTATTAGTAGCTTTTGTTGCTGGAACGAACAAAAAAATATGACAATTAGTCTATATAACCTCGTGATAAATTTTATCAAAATTCAGACTTGCTTTAAAAGCTTTACCATTAGCTACCTTTACACAAGTACGCTCTTTCACGCGCGGGCGTCTTTTACGCACGAAACAATTTGCACGAAAATATAGGCGAAAAGGACGAGAAAGACGCGCCGCATCTTTTCATGATAATTCATCATTCCATTTCGAGGTCCTACAAGCGTTACAATGTAACATGTGACTTCAGGAGTGCTGTTCATATACGTTATATATGTTTATTATGTCATATATGTTCATGTATATAAGCAACTATAACCATTTTCCATCAAGCAGCTTGTTTGCCATTCCAATTATAAAAAAAAAACACTCTTAACCAATTGACATACAAAATAACGCATATATAATGACTTACTGTTCATATACGACAGTAATTTCAATACCACCGTGTAACCACGTGAGTGCGGGGCCTCGACTCGTTTTTAGAGTGAGATGACAAGCAAAACATTACATTGTATCTGCATGTTTTGATATTGAAACAAAGTAAACAATTTACTTTTAAACGTGCTACATTTTAAATAAGGTCTATATTTAAATGTGAGCGCCGTGACCGTGGCTTACTGATGCTGCCCGAGTACATCACGATTTGGCGAACATTCGGTTGGGTCCTTACTAATTGGCATGTCAATAGACAAAGGTCAGTTGAGCTTATTATACGATATTTTTCATCAAATCAAATCCGATCGATCCACACTGGCATGCGCCGTCTCGCACCTCTTAGTTATATGCAATTATACTAGTGTACATATTTACGTATGTATTTATACCTACTAGTGGTCGAAAAGATTTTAACAATAAACAAAAGGGGATATATTCGTGTTTGTCCAATACACAGTAGTGTATTTGACAGTATGTTTGTTCTCTTGATTTAATGTATTTTTTATGAATAACTAAAAACTAAATTAGCATTCTTCTCTATAAACAATAACTGTGCGGAATTCCATATTCTTCGTCCACACATTTTTTATAAAATAGGGTACAAAGTTTTCACTTCACGTATTAATATATAGATAGATGCCTATCGTGCAAGCTATGTTTAGTTCGGTACTACAGCATCGTGTGAGTTGTTCATGGTTATTTACTTATGAATTTATTAGTGATCCACTACCAGGAGAGCAAACAGACAAAAGAACATGATTATACCTACTTATGATGCACTGCCTAAGTAATTTATATTGTGTATAGTAAAATATGTTTATACATATTTATGTTTATACATATTTTACTATACACAATATAAATTACTTAGGCAGTGCATCATAAGTAGGTATAATCATGTTCTTCACGATAATGTTTGTATAACCCATAACATAAGTTTGAAACAAGATAGTGAGTGCTGTAAGAGATGTTTAGCTTTATAAATACCAGGAGTGCATACCTTGTTGTTGCCCGAGGAGAGTGTGGTCTTGTCTTCGTGACAGGCGGTGACGAAAGCCGCCAGTAAGCGTTCGTCCTCGCTCGACCGCCAGCCGAGCCATCCGACTTCCGGTTGCGATGAGCGGGCTATCACCGCGCCATTACCACGGTGCCGCCACACAACCGCCGGTATACGACGCATCGCACGAAACCTTCAAAAATACCACAATGTTAGATATAAAAACCACTTACAGAACAGAAAAAAAACTAAATACATGTAGTTCAATCAAAAACTGATCTTCGATTAATTTAATAATTTCTAATTGTAAAAAATTCTAAAATATGTAAAGTCATTATATAGAGGGGATTCCCACAAATGTGACCAGCTGTGACATTAAAATCATGTGACGTAGATAATGATAGCCCTAATTTGCTCACACGAAGCAACGTATAATCCAAATAATACTCCAGATTCCTGATTAAAAAAGAAAATTTAATGAATTCATGTATATATGTATATACGTATTCATGATTAGGTGCCAATATTGTCTATGGTACGTACCATAGACAATATTGGCACCTAATCTGATCACACCAAGAAAGGTAACTAAATAATACCGAGACATTAAAAAAAATAATTAATATTTCTTACCGTGCAACTGAATCGAGGTCCTCGTCTCCAATATTTCTGGGTACTATGAGTGCCGGTGGGTAGGACGAGCATAACTTAAAATCTGAGTTAGCCATCGAGATTCGCCATACTCTGCTTTCATTGAAGCCAAGTCTATCAGCCTGTAAAAAAAAATAATAAAAAAATGTATATTTTTGTTATTTTATAAAGACTTAATTAACAATAAATTTCATTTCTTGTCTTTCAAATGACCATCGTGAACTAGAGGTTTACTGTCGAAGATCGAAAGTTGGAATATGGTCGACACCAAAAACATTCTGCTCATTTAAATTTTGAATTAACTCTGCAGTTATAAAAAATATTGATAACAAAATCCCGAAGAAGGTGATAGAATCAGTAAGATTTACAGATAACATATTTACATATGTTTCAAATAAACAACTATGTAAATATATAATAATATATTATATACACAGAAAACACCCAGTCCGATACAAACAATTATACTCCTGAATTCAAATGTTCACCGTGCGAGAAATCGAAACCGAGACCATCGGAAATAAAACGGTGTGCTAAACCGCCAGACCACCGAGGTCGTGCTGATGAAAATGAAAATGCTAAATGAATTAAATGTATGAAAATTTAATAATAGCGCGATAAAAATGTAAGTCAATACTATGCAAAGACAGTCCAGGTCAAGGCTAATTCCATTTACTTTCACGATACGATTCAACGCACTAACGTCCTAATTAGCAACAGAATAACTAAATAAACTGAATTAAAATGTTATACATTAAAATTGTTTATTAAGTACTAGCTGTAGCCCGCGATATCGTCCTCGAATAGTGGTTGAAAAAGGGAATTGAAATTATAATGGCTGGAGCCGATGTTGGAACCCCTAGCGGTGCCCTCAGACTAAAATGGTATCCCCGTCAGGCGGGAGTTGGCCTTCAGCCGCATAGGTCCTCCCGCGGTTTTGGAGTGTCATCTGCACTCGTCCCCTATCGTCTGGTGAAGCTGTACAGCCACCATTATAGTCCGAAAAAAGCCGCTCCACACCGTTCGCCTACTACTCCGGTGAAGCTGTAATGGCTATTTCAAAGGCCACTTTAGAATAATTCGAAAAAATACATTGCTAATTGGGGTTACTCCCCATTACTAAAAATTTCCTCTCCTTGAGACAAAGGTCAAACTCCATAATGAGCAAAAATGTTACTAGGCAATCATAAAGTATTATACACACACCTCTACGTGCCACCAGGGCTCCTTTAAGTTGTGCGTTGCTTTCAGGAGTGCTCTGTGCACAGATGTGGGCGGTTGTTCCTTAGCCCACGCGGCATACGCTGCCGCAAATGTCTCCTGCACTGAGTTCATAGTTACTAGGCCGGTGTTGATTCTGCGCCACCACTCCACGCACTGGTCTCCTGTACTAAATGTGCACCTATAACAAAAATATCGTACGTTAATGACACGAAATATCTAGAAAATTTGTTTGTGTGTTTGACTGTACACGCTAATAAATGGAACTACTTGTACAGTAAAAATAAATGAAAATAAAAGAGATGGTTGTAGACGTTTATTACAGCAGAGCGTAGTGAGAGAAGTGTATATAAAACAAATGTATACAAAGAACACTCGTATCTTATATATGGATAAAAGAATATATAAAACTGCCAATGATTCTCATTTAAGATTTAACATGTACGAAATGAAAAATTAAAATTATCTGATCTCATACACATCTTATCATTCTCCACTGGTGCCCCGCCAGCGTAAACAGTTAGCGCAGACGGGAACACCATTCCATTATCATCCATAAGAAAAAAGACTGAATCGAGTTTTTGCTAAGTCTATTATAGAATAATAGGCTTATTAAATGTCTTATCTTATTTAATGTGACAACAGACAATGTTCTGTAACGATTATAAAGACGTATATCAAATATTTATCCGGAATAGCACGCTATGACACTGTTAGGTATGTTAGTAGGGGCTGTATTTGTATTCAGATTTGTTGTACAATTATAATAAAGTATATAAAAGAAATTCCACGAGGATAATTGACAAATAAATTAAATAATTGTTTACTCGACAAATGTTTTTACTCCGTAAACTAGTTTTTAAATGCCTAAAATTATGTGATAAGGATAAATGTTTATAATAGCACTGACGAAAAATGTTTCGAATAATTAATTTTAAATGTTGAAGAGGCAAAACGTAATTGAAAATTATATTCTACAGTAACAACTAATGTATGCTTATCGAAAATAAATTTTATTTATTTTGTATATATAGAAAGCATAATAATAAAAATAAATTATGACAATAAACTTATGTAGAACAGTATAAAACAATTAAGAATTAGTAGCGAAAGAAAATTATTATGTCTGCAGAAGTAATTTTTGTAGTCTTTTTTATTTTCCCGCGCAAAACGTAATGGACCACAGATGCATAATATTGCATAGCGCGCAGCCGCGGTAGGATAACGAGCGCGTCATGGCTGTATGTACAATCATTAGTATTAGTACATGATTCATTAATAATTCCGAACAAACAACTATATAAAAATGGATGGAACTTATTGCCGACTAGTTTTACGTAAATAGATACAAGTACATCCAATTACCTAATATTTTTATCTGTTGCTAACCCCAATTCTTGTTCAAAACAAATTATTGTTGATAATTTCAGCATAATAAGTTGTTACTAGGTAAGTCATGATAATAATTTTATTGTTGAAAACAAAAACAGTCTTAATGTTTTTTGTGTCTTCAATAATATTACAATAAAAAACACAGTTCACTTGAGAACTTCCGCCTTTTTCTGAACTCGATTGTAAACCTAGAAATCAATTGCATCTTTGATTTTAAACTACGTTATGAACATAATTCTCAAATATAAATATGTATTTCTAACTAATTCCTGTTTTAAAACGAATTATCTGTTTATATTATAAAAAAAATATTTGTCAAAGTTCTTTACGCAATTTGTTTCTATTTTAGCGTATTGATTCAATATTTAACACAGATATGCTAAATGTGTTGTCGAATTCATACTAGACTTTGTGTATTATTGTATTTATATAATGCTTTAATTAAGTAGATATTTTTTTTGTAATTTATGATGTTAATAATTATGTATCTATTTATATAAGTAGGATATAACAAATTATTTCTTTATGTATAAATATTGTTTGTATACTATACTAACTGTATATTAACGCACTATACATCTTAAATTTCTTTACGTTACATAAATATATAATTATGAATGTTACCTCTTTTCTAGAAGAACAACCTCTTTTTGAACCGACTTTACAAAAAGAGGTTTTTGTTCGTTTTTTTTTTGTTACTGAAAAATATGCTGAGCATCACGTACTTCATAATAAAAAAAAGAGTTGTAACTACAATAGATAAATTAAAAAGGGGACAGGGATTTTCTACGATACTTAAAGATAGTCTACGACACTCGTACTCACTTGATAGTGCGTCCATTTTTGCAGAGTACAACCAAATGTATGAGATCTCGTATTTCCACAGCATCAATGAGTCGCAGTGGTACCGACGCGCCGGGCCCAGTGCGCCGGCGCGGTTGCACGTGAAGACGGTAATTGGACATTGCTATAGAACCACCATCCGCCGTTCGGCCGACCCACTGTGAAAAAAAAAACACTACATTTAGTTATTCATTCGACGACCTCGGTGTTTTAGCGGTTTAGTATCCCGCCTTACTTCCGGTGGTCGTGGGTTCGATTCCTCGCACGGTACAAACATTTGTATTCAGTATGATTGTTTGTATCGGTCTGGGTGTTTTCTATGTATAATACGTATTTATAAAAGAAATATTTATCTATGCATTTGCATGCGTTGTCTAGTACCCATAACATAAGCTCTAGCTAGTTAAGCTTGGGTCTAGATGGCGCAATGTGAATTGCCTTGAGATTATTATTAACATAATTATTTAGTGAAATTATTATTATTATCCCACACATACACATACACACTCGCCGACTAACAAATACATATCTGTAATTTTTATTATTGTATTCTTTCTTTATTTAATTTTATGTCATATATTACTAGTATTAATATTATATAAACACTAAATTATTATATGCACTCTGATCGCCGTACCAATGTAACGTTAACTGTCAAACCTGCTTTGATATCCACGATACAGGCATAGCTTGGTGTGGGGTCATAGTTACAATGTTACTTAAGTTAAATTTTATGAAATAAATGTTATTCTATTCTATTCTATCATTATTAACAGGTGTTAATTTGAAATTACAAACAGACATTTCAGTTCCATTGAGAATTATTACATACCCTATTATCTAACTTTACCGAATGAATTAGCGCTAGTTTGTCACACACATTTCAACTTCAAAATGTAAAGTTACAACTAAATTATTTAAAGGGCTATACGCAAGTTTACACGTTCTTCTTGTGTTAACTTTCCGAATGAGCGGTAGTTTCCAAAAATAAATAATGACTAATCAAATATGCTTTAATGGAATAAAGAATTTTCTTTTCTATTCTATCCTAAAAAAATAAAGGTGATGTTACGGGTAACAGCTAGTTGCGAAATAAAAATAATTTCATCTATGAATGAACAGAATATTTGTTACTTTTTACAAATATTCCATTCATCGTTTTACAAATAACAATTTTAGTCACAAACTAAGCATAATTCATACTAAAGGTGACTAGTGACTACCCATAGAATTACTTAAACTCGTCTACATAGAAAAACATTAACACTAATACAGACCTACTCACGAATACAAATATACAGGAATCGAACTCGCGACTATCGAAAAATTCGACAGTTTGCTAAACCGCTAGACTACCGGGGTCATTAAATGTAATGCGTAGGCAAAATTTACAATATGAACTTTATCAGCAAAGCTAGGTTATTGACCCCGGTGCATTCAACCCGCTGGCCTTTCAGACTTCCTCCTGCATTCTCAACTTATCTATACCGTCTCAGTCTCTAATTAATTAAATAATTCAATTATATACAATATAGTTAGAACGCGTTACATTTCCAACTAGCGACCCGCTGTAAATTTGCTTGGGTGCTGTAGAAGTTAATTAAAAATATATATATATTACTAGCTGACCCCGCCAACCGTTGTTTTGCCATATAAATTAAAATCGCTATTAAACAATAGGGATTGATAGTAGAAGGGTGAAAATTTAGGGTTATGTAGGTAAAATACATACATTTTAAATTCCACATAATAAAAAAAATTAAAAAAATTGTGGAAAAAAGAAATCTTTTCGAGTGAGCCACCCAAACTAACACTTCTAACACTTAAAGCTATAAAATTAGTTATAAACCTATCCTCAGACCTACTGAATATACATATAAAATTTCATCAAAATCAGTCAAGCCGTTTCAGAGGAGTATAAACACGAAACCTGTGACACGAGAATTTTATATATTAGATAAATAAAAAATGTAATAAGTCTATTTTCTGTAGTATTCTGGAGTCTGTAAAAAGTGCATTGTTGAGTGCGTGAAATAAAAACTCGTCGAAGTGAATGTGTTTTCAGTTATGAAGGTTATGTTTTTGGGAAAGGAACCTTCAGGTTTAATAATTGCAAGGATCTTCATTTTTACTATGAAATCCATGTTTATGGTAAAAATGAAGATTATTAATTGGCATAGGAAAAAGAGATGGATGGACAGTGTGAAAGACGTAAATATAGTAAATAACGAGATGACAGCGAACAGGATTTTATGGAAGAGAAAAACATATTACGCAGACCACAAATAAATAGGATAAATAAGAAGCAGATAATGATAGGACAATTCAATATGATTAGTAACTTGAACAAATACGTCCTTAATTTTCTTACAATAAATAAATAACTGATAGTATGTCTATCTGTTATTAACGACTAAATGGGTGAACGGATATAAATGAAACTTGACATGTTGAAATACTAAAATTAAAATATGTCACAAAATCTAAGGCAAGTTTTTTGATGACATGAAATTTGTCACACTATGTCACACTTTGCACACCTCCCTCGCCCCATTAAAGAGTGAAGTTATTTATGAAAGGTCTGATGATGAAGTTTGTGAATACTTCTTGTCACACTGTGTCATACTTTGCACACCTCCCTCCTCCATTAATGTGTGACGTTATTTATGAGAGGCCGCTATGCAATATATCATGATAATTAGTTAAGTCATTAAAATATGAAAGCGTAACAGAACAAACACTTTCCTATTTTACAAATAGAAATAATCTTTATTCAAATAAACTCATTACACGCACTTTTGTACAGTCATATTTTGATTCTACCATATATATAGAATACCTACTAGCGCTTCTCATATAGTATACTAGCGGCCCGCCCCGGCTTCGCATAGATGTGCATGTATTATACATATAAAAATGCGTCTTGAATCAAGAGTGATTCAAGAGGCAGTTTTCAGAAATCTAAAGATAAAGATCTATTGCTGAAAACTGGATCAAAATTCATTGAATAATTTTAAACATATAAGCGAACAGATAGCGGCGGCGATCTCATTTTATACTAAGTAAAAATGAGTTAAGTTTATTAAACAGCATGTATAAAGTAATATGAACTTATGTTGACATCTTTTTAGGTCACTTAGCGAAATTAGCGAGCGTGTCAGTGCAACGGTGCACTGCGTTGCACATTGCACTAGTTTTGTATGCACTACATCATATTTGTTTATTAATTTATGTCATTTTAATGCATAGAATACAATGATATAAGATCAGTCGAACTTACGATTTAGCGCCATCCAGTTACTTATGACTAACAAATATATGGTACAACATTTTTTTCGTTGTGTGTTATCTCAGAACTTTTCTATACGTGAATCGATATTGATGATTTCTTTTATTTGAAAGTTGGTACTTCTTATGTGAACCCATACAGATTTGATGAATGTCTCACCAGTAGTAGTTTTAGTTATCCTTAATAAAGTTTCTGCAGTCGGTTTCTTCATCTGCATCATTTAATCTTTTATGACTCTTTATGCAGTTTTCCTTATTTTTAAGTGATCAAGGCAATAAACATTTTTTTTTTCTGGTATACAATACCAGAAAAAAATGTATATACATATACACATATACATATATTATGTTGAAAATTGTTATCCTATACAGATAGTATCAGAGGTTAAATATTTTGAAAATATTAAGCACTATTTCTGTTAGACATTATAGAACATCCATCCCATTGGAAGCCGCGACCATTGGAAACCTTTTTTTTAATACATACAGACGGGTGCACCATTCTATTATCATAAAAAAGTTAACTAGTGCCCCCACCTTGACGAACTCCCCGCATATCGGCGTGAATCCAATTTCCAGGTCGGGCTCATCGAAGTGCGTTCGCTCGCGCGGGTACAGATCCGACGCGCGCACGCGGTGCGGCGGCGGCTCCGGCTGCGGCGGCGAGCGGTGCCGCTCGCGTTCGCTCATCTCGTTCGTCGACGACGATGCTACCTGCCAACAATAATTTTATACAATTAGCACGCAGCAATTAACACTCTTCGTTTGTTCTGTTTATCCTTTATGGCAAAGGGTACTGTATCCATACAGCCATGTATGCATGTTTTTGAAGTTCTTAACTTTCTTAGTTTATTTTATATATTTTTATAATGTAGTCGTACAGTGCATAAAATGTTCTTATGTCTCTTAATATTTCGTGCAGAGAGCGGGGAACAGATATTCCCCAAGCGCCAAAACTTCCCCGTACAACGAGACTCCCATCCGGAAGATCCGATATGCACCACAGCGAAGAGCACTCCCTCCCTCAATCCAAAATTGAAAGTTTATAAACAAACAAGTTTTATAAAGTTTCACACATGTTTTAAGTAAGGTGAGGCTTGCAAATTGTACAAAATTCAATTTGAATATTCTAAAGGAACAGTTAACGGTACTAATTACTTTCTTCTCCATATGTTTATTACATTTAGTATAGTAAGCATGTTATTTTTATTTGTTTGTATAATAAAATATTCATGTTTAAGTATATTTCTACATATGAATGTGTGTATTTATATTTAGCTGTATACTTTATAATAATACTTTGTTCTAGTATAACCTAGATTCCTTTTGAAACCTATACCGGTGTGGATGTACCTATAGGTTTGAAAAGTAATCTAATACGCTAAGTACGCTTAATTATGATTTATTTACATAAATGTGTATTTTTAAAATATTTTTTGATTATTTCCATTCAGGTGCTGTATTTTTAGCAATACTTTCTTCGCTCTTTCCTAAGGTTGTTTGATAGTACATTAGCGATAAGACCGCCTTCTTTTTTTAATCTATTGTTTTATTTTTAATTCATCTACTTAAAAAAATCTAATGTAAACATTTTACTGCTTCGCCTAGTCATTGACTAATTATACGTACGAGGTACCAGGAAAGCATAATCAAAGTATAGCAATAATTATGGAAATGTGCCTCCGCCTGTATTAATGATATACTTAAGCCCAGCACCATTATAGAAAAAACATGATTTTTTATTACACACACACATTCAAGTACGTTTAATCACATACTAGACAAAACAAATTTGTGCGAAGGTAAAGCTGTCGTAACTACATTTTAACTGTTTACTTGCATGTTTTTTGTCATTGGTTAATTCTACGTACAGAGTGTACCAGGAAAGTATAAAAAGCAAAGAGCACGCAAGAAGTTGTCGCAACCAGGACCGGTACTGTCAAAGATTTCCAAATATTAAACGTGTTTGGAAATCTTCTAACAATGTATATATATAATGTATAAGTAACTTTAAATTTATAAGTACTTTGAACTGAACTGTGTAATTTAATTTACATAAATAACATAAATGTAACAATGCTTATTAATTACCATTTACTTTTTATAACAATCCCTAGTTTAAATATAATAGATACATTTAAATAGATTGTTGACACTAGAAGCAGATCTGATTCTGATCATCAGTGATGACAAGTAAAAAAGGAGATATTAGTTCATTTATCTAATCTTGAAACATGGATCTTTTCCTAATATTACACAAGAATTTTTAAAATTTCATGTAATGTCTATGCTATTGACTAACATGCTGCACATACCTTTTGCGGAAAATATTACTAATAGCTTACAGCAATAGCAAAAATCTTATATTTCACGCACAAAAGAGTACATGAATATGATTGCAGTATGAATACCAGGCAATCAGAGCATTCCAGGATTGCCATAGTCATTGTCCGATCCGTAGTAGAGAGAGAAACTTCGAGGAGATTCCGAGACTTGTGAATGGATTTAGATTTAAGAGGTCCATATCTGATGCATATTTCACTACTCTATATCTGTATCTCTACCTGTCGAACGAAATCTGGTATATATTTACTACCTTTCTAAAATTTTAGAAATTACGAAGCACGAGTTGTTATTCAACAACTATATAATTTATAATTCAGATTGTTCTGATATTCAATTAAATAAGAGATTATGAACATGTAGTTTTATAATATTATATCGAAATAAATTACAGCTCATCAAATATGTTACGGTAATTAAGTATGGAATGTGTGAGTAACCGTAATACTGGTAGCTTTTTAATACCACATTCCGACCCGATCCATGTAACCAGTTAGAAAAGTATATGTTGCTCCATTCGATTTTATAATCTATGTATAAAATTTTTAGACTGAATACTATTTCAACTATTTATTTAAAAAAATCAGTATGTGCCACATCATTTGCGACATTGTATTAGAGTCTACAACTTTTCCGATCGAATCTCTCTCTCTCCTATTCTAACGTGGATCGAAATTACGATCGTCTGAGATGAAATTGGAACCTCAAGCGACGTTGATATTAAGTCCTATCAGGAGGAAGTTCAATAATCAGGTGTTTGCTTTTGGTACGGGTTTGGAGTACCTTCTACACTCGCCCTTATTTTGGTGTAATGAAGATACAAATCCACCTAAGGAAAACAGTGTTAGAATAGTTAAAAAAAGTTATTAGAGCATATTGTTAGCCTAGAAATAATCCTTAGATACCTACCTGAATATCAAATGAGTTTCTTTCAATGAAAATAAAGATGAAGCAGGCGAAACTAGATCAGGGATAGCGCCGTACTAAACATTCCGTACGCTAGTCACAAATCACAATACTCCTAACCTTCTATTGTTTCCTAGTACTCTCAAACTTTTTATTTTAACTTTACAACTTGATTTAATTAAGTGAATCTACGTTAACCTCGCGTCGCGTTGCGTTGCACTGTGAGAATTCTCATTTCACTTTCATATTATGTGGCTCATTAAGTATTAACATAAGGCGCTGTTTGTTAGGTCATGCGCAACGGAATGTAATACCTGCAACTTACAAACAATGCCAGGCGTCTTATTATTCAGTTGGTACTCAAAATCCTTGATGTGATTTTTCCAGAATATTCGAGGTTTAAAAGAAGAAAGATCTAAAGACGTAAATATCTAGGTATTATCTCTGTGCATACAAACATTTATAAAAAAAATATATAACAGCTATCTCAATAAAGTTATTAAGAGTCATATATGCTATTTACGTCTAGTATTAGGTTTATTTAGATTCATTACAGGAAATATTATCAAATTATATAACAAGATAACGAAGGATATTTTAGGGTTGCCCTTTAATAAATTTAAAGAAAACCATTAAGAACAACTTTTGAACACTATTATTTACTAGTGTGGCGAATTGAGATCGCGCGACGACACCGCTGCTAAGAAAAATAACAACCTTGTCTTTTGAGAACGAATAACCTATCGTAAATATAACACTCATGTAGCTACATATCCTACACCTTCCATCTGTATTTACCATCTACAATATAAATATGTACATAGCTACAACCGGTTCATTCTCTTCCATCTTTCCGGCTGGTACGAAGGAATACATAATAATTAATTGTGGACTCTTTATCGCCGCTAAGTTAAACTAACACACGTGCAATGCGTTAGTATTATTGATGAAGCACAGAATTTTCAGTTCAAGACATATGGGCACAATACAGTATTATAAGGGGGGGGGGGGGTTGTTAGTAATGTGGACTGATGATTTAATTGCTATAGTTACTTTTAAACTTTCGTGTTTAATATACATTATTTATAATTATTTAATTGATAGCAATATACCATGTCGGTTGACCTCCATGCGGAAACCTGGAAACCATCGTGATAAATTCTAGGTGAATTTGTCACGATGGGCTAACTGACCTGACCTCATGCTCATCTTATCATCTTTCACTGGTACCCTGCCAGAATAAACGCAGATGGGTACACCATTCCATTATCATCCATAAAAGAACCCACAGTACATAACTTACACTATACTAATGACTAATTAAAAAGACCTATAACCGATCTACAGATTTCTTTGTTACATTCTGACCTATTAGGATAAATATAGATAAAAATATTACATGAATAAGGCACTAAAAATATCGTATACGTATAAAATAATGTTATATTAAACGTTGTCTTCCGGCGAGTCCTTAATTGGTTAAACATTCCATAGTAATGACGTAATAGAACCTTCGAGGTTTAGAGATGTTCATATAAGCCATTTATTATTAGATAACCATTAAGTTAGAAAGCTATACAAGATTACTCGGGAAATGATTCATGTGAATACTCAAAACTTTACGACTAATGAAAAAGTTCTTAAATTATTAACTACTACACTCATGGGTACAACGTGCCGGGATTTATTTAAATTATACGACTTAATATCATGAGAGGAGATAAGAGTTATGTATTCGTTTTTATTTATGTAATTATCTAAAAACTTACGCCATAATTCGTGTATAACAGACGCATAGGCCATTATTATTATTATCTAAAAACTAAAAGGATGTCCATGTCATTTCATTTCTCTGCAATTGAGGGCATCTATAGAATTTCCAGGATCATTGCTACTGGCAGTATGCCTAGTTGCACTTATCGTTATTTAATTTATAACATTGTTGGACATTTTTGTTTGTTTCTTGAAACTGTCCATGTATGTGTTCATTTAAACTATTATAATTATTATTAAATAACCAATCAATCTAAATTTAAATAAATAATTCATATAATACAATAGTTACTTTTAAATTAATTTGAATAGAATACAATTTTATTTATTTTGTAGAACATTACTTAGTTTTGTTATTTAATACCTAAGGAACCTCGCAACCGTCACAAACGTCAATTACTATCTTGTCGATCTCATTAAAAAAGTACACCAATTGATTGTCACGTTTCAATTTATGAACTAAAACGCATGTAGTTACTTAGTAATATGAACAATTTAAGACATTTTATTTCTCGAGTGCATTTGGCAAACATTTTGTACATTGATTTTGTTTTTATGTCATTTTGTACACTAAATTTCTCCAGTAGAGGCTTCAGAATGTTATATATTTATCTGACTCAGTCACTTTGTTCACTGTTTTCTAAATTAACGACAGATTACAATGCCGTCATTTAGTAGCTACGACGTTATTCAATTGGAGAAATTATATCATATTTAAAACAAAAAAGAATTGCTATTCATTGTTCTTTACCAACCTTATACCAACTGCGTAATTACCATTTTCTGGAATTATACTTAAATAAGTAATGAATAAACGATGACAATGAGGGAATGAGCCCTGTCTGTTTTAGGTTTTCCTCGGAACCAAAGGTCATTCCTCCGGCTGCGATTATTATATTTACCTCCTCACACGCAACGTTCTTATTGAATTTGCGGCATTAAACCTATTCATAGTAAGTTAAAAAAATGAGACTGCTATTTCATCAGAAGATATGACTAAATGAGAATTACTTTGGCGCTTCCTTTTGCCACCCAAACTTTGATAGTACATACCTAATAGTATGCAGAACACGACCAAACTTTCTAAACTGTCTTTAAGAAACATGTAAAGTATAAGTCATATTCAAGCAGAAAGCGTGGGACCTGCCACCTACAGATCTTTTGGATCATTCACCCTTGCAGGCCAATGAACACAAGAATTGAGCACAAACCATAAAAGGAGACCAGCAGGACATGTTTTATATATAATACATCTACTTTTTTTCTACACAAAGACAAGGAAAAAACACCGATCTCCAGATTATTAGCAATCACTGTAGCTTATATAAGTTAGTGAACCTACCTAAAATGATTAAACTTTAGGTATTTGAAATATTTGATCTTTATTTTGGCGCTATAAAGAGTTATTTTTATAAAATATATTAAAACATATAATAAATGTACATTTATGTATGTATGTAAATTTGTTTTCCTTCGCAACAATTAAACAAATGATACAATTGATAATGTAGGCAATAGACAAGGTTATTTATGTATAAAAAGACAAAGGAATGAAAGATAAACAAAGATACATGATGTTTTTCGGTAAATTTAAACCCTCAAACATTTAAATAAGAATTAAAACATCAACACCAATCCAGAGCAATATCCTGGATACCTAAACAATGTTTGTTGAAAGAGCTAAAGCAGATTTCAGGTTTATGATGAACGCAGTAAAAACTAATAATGAACTGGCAAAGTTTCTTGCTCAAAACAGTGTAAGCTCTGTACTACAATATAGTACATCATTAAAACAGTCATCAATACCGTGCGGGTGGGCGTCCTGCACCAGATCACATAAACCGACTATTTAAAACAACCAAAGGCCTCATAATGTTGTGTACAGGGCAGAGATTGTATTCCAATCGGAGGATTAATAGTTGAGTTTTAAGCATAGTTCGTTCACCTACCGATTGTAAGTAAACATAAAAAAACCCAGTAAGCTTCTAGAGGGGCTCGTAAGAGGCGCGATGGAACGTTGTAGTTGTACAGATTATTTTTATTCCCACTCTGACTGGTTTGTTTTGCATACCAATTAGACTTTTATTTTTCGATGCCTATGACTAGAAACTGGATAGTTTGGCGTATTATCAAGAAATTTTCCACTAGAACAATGCATTCATGCGGAACAACGTTTTTTCTTAGAATTATCTAGTAGGTTTTGCAAGAGGAAAGTTTCTTCATCATAATTCTTAATCGAAAATATATTTAGCAGAAATTACATACATTATAAAATTTCCATTGACAACAGACCCGCTGCCAAGCATACATTTATTGGCCTTGTCTTCTATTGAATGGCATTATTGGCAGCAAACAAAATTCTTCGCCATAAAAGTTATATAAAACAAACGAATACCAGTTAGCTTTCAATCAGTGAAATCGAGAGTTGCCATAATATGGAAATTAGTAAGCATATTTTGTCGATGCACGTCTTCTCCATATAAAGGCAAGAAGATCTAGTTGTACAGATAGATAGACAAGTAATTGAAATAGGTATCAATAAAAATCGCGAAGGTTCTTGGCACCGAGTACTAGGAGACAATAAATTGGCATAGTACTACTTGTCTACTACTTCCTTCATTACCTCTCGGTATACGCACTGGCCACATTAGGCAAGGACGGCAGCACAATGCAGTATTAGCCAACAACGGATATAAAGGGGCAAGCCCTCGCTTGCATAACATCACGCATGACTAATCTAGCGTTGGTATGCGTAGGAGATAGATATTGAGGTCGTTTAAGGTCGCCATGTGGGCATTACCAACCAGCATGTTTTAAACGATACGGCACCCAATATAGATAACTGGTACGAATGAAGGGTGTATAAGATAGTGTTATCGTAAGAGTACAGGGATATACGGATATTTGTAGTGAATGAAATGATATAACCATTCATTATTTGTGAGTTTGTCATTCAAGTCGTTCACCCAAGCGGAGGCCGCCTGTTGCTGGAATGGAAAGGCGTATTCAGGGCCACGTTACGATACGGCGCCTGAGTGTAGTAACTGGAAATTTAATAGACAAATACGCAAACGGATTGCATGACCATATAAGTACGAAAATTAATTTACAGATAGACTCTGTATGAAGTAGTGTGCGTGGGTACCTCTGTCTCGACTATTTCGCCGCCAAACATCTCGTGTTTAAGAGACATAGCAGTAAAATTATAGGGTATAGGAAGCATGATACCTTAGTCCACTGGAATGACAACGCTTGAGGAATACCACACATTATAGTCAAGATCTATACTACATTTTCTGTATTCCACACTTTAGAATGAGATGATAGATACGTCCGTTTTGCTACGTTCCGTCTCACTCTTTTATGTCCATCTTTATTGTGGGCAATAATGGAGCGGGTATCCGGTGCATTGCAAGACGTTTTATCCATATGTAGGGCTGTCACGACTATTATAAAGGCTTGAAAATTTTTAAAAACCTATGTTTATATCATCATTGCCTTGCCTTTATCCCATTATTTGGGGTCGGCGCAGTATGTCATTCTCTTCCAATGCTCTTTCTCTTCCAATGCTCTCTATCGGTCGTCATATCTAAACATACTCTTCTTTTATTCATATCATCTTTAACACAATCCATCCATCTTTTCTTAGGGCGTCCCCTCCCTTTACATCCATCTATGTTTATATCTACACGAATTTAACGGATAACTACTTACTATGATTTCGTCACAACAACTGTCAGAAAAAAACGAACTTAACATGCGTGTTAAAGTAAAGAACAAGTCCAGGAAATTTAAAGATTTGTAATGCATCTGTGCGAAGCCAGAACGGGTCGCTAACTGTGAATTAAGTGAACTTCGTCACCACAGCATCGATTTGTGAAATGCTTACACTGTTGGTTCAGTATATTATTCCACAGTGACATAAGTTATATAGTATGTAAATATACAAAACTCACACAGTTATGACGATAATTGTCGGCTGCGTCTGACTGCACTTGGGCAAACCAAGATGGGACTCTAGTAGTAAAAATAATAAAGCCGGTTTGCTGTGGTAATATTGTGGTATGCGTAATATATTAAAAATACCACAGTAATGAGTCATGCGACAAACGCATACGGACTCGGACAAAATGGTTGATTATGATTAAACCTGGTCTCACATTATCGGGTTCAGTCCGAACGGTCTGTAGCGAAGATGCTGTTCGATTGGCGCATTTTCAAAGAGGGCGGGGCGTAGCAACAAATACACCAATCGAAAGGCATCGTTGGCACAGGTCGTCCAACTCTTACCGGAAGTGTACGGGGACCCTAAGTCTGGTTAACGTTGTCGTTAATGTCCCCTTCAGTTTGTACAAATGGACCAGCAAGATTATTTGAAGACGCTGATTTGATTATTCTGGATTGGAAACAAGGCCGCTTAACAAGTTAATGCGACAGGGGATACGAATATTACCCGTTTGTTAAAGACAACTCTTATACGAGTACAATAACAGTGGAATTTATTTCTGAACTTGTAGCCTAGTGATTGCCATACCGACTTATGCTAAATGGTCGTGAGTTTGAATTGTCCATTTTGTGGTTGTTGCAATTATTATTATTTCTTACTTTGGAATGGTTGGTTCGGCAAATTCTTTAGCAACCATTTCGTCATAAAAACTTACCAGATAGACAAACAATAATTCGCATTTATAATATTAGTATGAATATTACAGAACATCTATTAAAAAAATATTCGGAACCCACAGTGTACAAATTCGACTCACGCTTCACCAGTTGCATTTAATTCCGACGTGTGGTCACAAAGAACAATGGTATGTGTAAGTGCAAAGTGCAAAACCTTACATACCAATGAATGGAGGCGAGTGATGGCAGTGGCGAGTAGGATTACCAACTGCTTCGTTTTACTTGGGACGTCCCGAGTCCTGTTTTTGTTTTTTATACTACTATAGTGGGAAACAAGCATATGGTACAATTGATGCTAAACTACCGTAGCTATGGACGTACTACGGACGCCTGAAACATCAGAGCCTTAAGTAACCTTAATATACCCATCTTGAAAAATTCCATGCTGTAGTCCCTCGAGAAAGATTCCAGATTTCTGTAGTGTGTGTAAGATTATAATGCGTATTTTTTTTATTAGGGGATTATTTTGAATTTATAATTTTAGAATTACTTAATGATTAACTTCCTACAATATTAAGAAGAGTGGGCCCGTCTAGTAGCGCGTCACTGCGACGCGGGTCGCAATTTACAAATTATTAATTCTCAAGGCGAAGGATGTTTGGCTTGCACCGTTAGGGTAATAACGTACGTCTCTACAACAACAATGTAATTTTTTAATAAAACATTGTTATGTTTATTATGATACATATAGTATATTATGTATTAAATGTAGTGTGTTAATTATTATATATATTATATATATAAGGCGGCCTCGGTGGTTCAGTGATTCAGCACACCGCTTTACTTCCGATGGCTGCAGATTCGCCTAAATATGTTCATAGAAAAATAATTTCTATTTATTGATGTCCTCGTCAATTTTATGTAATTACGGTACTATTTATGGATAAGTACTTTTGGACATTTAAGAAGGTTTCGTTTATTGCTCCTACTAACATTAAATTAAAGATATTGTAACAAAGAAATAAGGATAAAAATCTGTAATAAAACATTATAAATTACAAACCTTGGTATAATCAGGGCTGGGCGGTCTAGCCGGGTATTTGGAGGCCATACGTGCACCTGCCCCACAACCCTGGGTGGCAGGTACTTCATCCTCCGGATAATAAAGATGCACGAAATCCTCCGTGTCCAAGAAAGTGTTGATCAGCATACTCCACAATATACAAAACTAACTAATACATAACTTAACGCAGTCTAACAGATCAGACTTTATGGCCACTAACACTAGTTTAAGATTAAATCACTGTTGTATAGGAAGCACACCATCGAAACACCATCGATTTATAACGTTCCATCGTATATGTACACCTATATTAGTAATTCAATCACACAGCTACCTACTTGAAGGAAAACGACATGGTTACGACCATTGGTGACAACGTCATGACAGTTTAAGCTATTTAAAAAAAATTACATGCGAATATGCCCAAATAGTGACATAAATTTAGACGATGACAGAATTTTGACAAATGCCGATGCATATTTAAATTCACATGAGTATTTATTCAAAGAAGTCATTTACTAAACACCAAGAAATATTTTGAAACCGTTAAAAATACTTCATGGTGGTCATAAAATATGATGCCAATTTCTTTCCCATGCTGATTAGAAGTAAAAGTATTTAACAAGTTTTGAGTCAAGTTAATTCTGTTATTATTCATGGCTTTTACACTCTCATGTCATCGTTAGTATTTTCACCAGTTGATAAGCTTGACGTCATTCATGACAATATGTTGCTGTTTGCACAAGTGCTCGAATTCTTCAGTCCATTGTAAACCGAGAGTGGTTTGTTTGAAAGAATACACATCTTAACCATTTGTTTGCATAGTTGTTCCTTTACAAGAATCAAATAACTCACTAATTGTATAACTTGTTCACTATATTGCTATTGAATTATTACATTCTAAACAAAGTAATGGAAGATATAAAATACTATAACAGGGGCTTAGCAATTACAATAGATGATTATTTAAAGCGATAACCTCAATTTTAAGTAAATAAGATTATATCTTTTACGTAACGCCAAACAATTGCCTACCTAAACATTAACAGCGTTACCTGTGGTTATTGTTGTTATCGTATTAATAGAAAGAAGAGTTGTAGATGACCAACCGAGCAGATTCACTACAGCGGAATTTATATCCGAATCATATAAGAATTTATAGAAATGCTTTCTTACGTTATAAAAGAAATCTTTGTGTTTCTGTAGACTTGGCAGTTTTGGATGCACGATGACAAGTTAGCCAGCAAAAAATATTTTATAAGTACTAATTAATAGAAAGAAATGCAGTTCAAGATTAGTCCGTAAATTATCTATGAAGGAAATATAAATGTGATAAAAACAACATTGAGCGCTAATCCGTGTGTGAATCTTAATATTACATTAATTATGAATCTAGAATGATCCACAAACGTAACACGTACAGATAGAAGTGCATTCTTTGCTGCACATTAATGTGCACCGGTTCATTGACCTCCATTAGTCTTAAACAGTAGCTATATACGTTCTCTGATTTAAAGAGCTCATCTGCTCAAGCATTAGTAAATGGGTTGTGGCATGGGATTTCCATGTCTATTCTGAGAATAATGTTTGTAAATTCATAATCACATTCTTTTGGGTTAATGTGTTTATTGGAAAAGTTAACTATTTCTAATTTTGATTCACTACTACAACCGTTAATTTTTAAACTGAAACACTTGTAATTTTCTATGCACTTAATATAAACATAATTAATAACCTTAAAGGGCCTTAAAACAATATTCAAAAATTCTTCTGTCTGTAGATACTATTCTTGATCATATTGTATTAATTTATCTAGGTCTTTAGTACATTCTACTTATCTAATGATGATAGACCAGTCGATTAGCTCTCTTTTTAATATTAATAGATTTTATCACGTGATTGTACTTAATAAAATTAGAATTTGTAAATATAACGATGTTCTTGTCAGGCAGATATGAAAACAAATAATGATGTTTTTATATGTGATTAATTGCTTCATCGATTTATACGAATAGAGTAAAAAGTAAGTAGAAGTTAAGAAAGGTAGAAATGATTGTTTCAAATGATGGACCTTTTGAATGTATGTGTATATTCAATAGGTCCAACATTTGGGACTATTGTGTAGTCCCAAATGTTGGACCAATTAGACTAGTATCAATACAGTCAACAATTGGCGATAATGCAAAATTGGAAACAAAATCGTAAAAACAAATAATACTTATTGATAAAAAAGATAAGATAGCACAGTAATCCCTGATAACAAAAATGCATTTATACTTGTTTGTGATTCTGCATTAAACAACAAAAGAATAAGTTCAGAAAAGCCATAAATTGATGATTCAGTACGTACTTTGTGAAACTATTATCAATTCTAGATAAAGAAAGATGTTTTGTGTTTCGACAATGGGAACATGAATGATAAAAGATTTGCCTCGTACGTTTCATGATCAATCAATTCTGTTATACGCTTTATAATGCTGGTAATGATAATGATTGACAGAATCCCTCCAATAAGTGAGTCTATCTTATCAGTAGAGAATCGAATCAACGTGTTTCAAGAACCAATATAATTCATTGGTAATAAAAGTAACATAGACTAAGCATAAATTTTATACAATAAAATAATTCATTAAATTATATAAACATTTCAAGAAAATTGTTTAAGTAATTAATATGAAAATAGGCCTGTTTAAGTTTATTAATATTCATACCCATATAAACAATGTTTATCTTTAGCATTAATGAATTAAATCAACTATTATTCGAGCATTGTACTGTAATTTAAAATTGTTAATGACTTCTCCTCATACATTTTAACATCAAATTCAAAAGAACAAACCAAATGATTTCGTACAATGGGTAAATGAATTATGTAACAAATTTAATAAGAAACATATCCAAATACGATGTATTGATAATAGTAAAGGCAGTAATTGCATTGTAAATCTTATAGCATAGACGATATACGGATGTTTGCTCCACTTTCGGAACAGTCAGTTCCGTGGAATGCAGTCACCGGCGCCTACCAACTGTTTGATGCTATGTCATCCTGATACTTTAGTTTGCAAATAACGATAAACATTGACTCAGGAAAATCAATATAAATAAATAGAGTTACAACCAAATTTGAAAATGATAATGTATCGACACTAAATATTCAACGTATACATTTTTTTGTATGGGCAGGATAGAATTGCCTGTTTTGTAATATGAAACTAATAACGGACGTAGCCACCGACATTTTGGTGTGCGAGAAAAAAGAGTTGCGTGCACCTAATCTATTAAGTAAAATAGAATGCTATTTCCACTCGTGATTACAATGAGGTCGAATCATTTTTTAAATCAATACAATTTAGCAGTGCCTAAAATATTGCAAGTACAAAAATACCAGACACGAGCCAAAAGAAATAAATAAATTATTACTTTTGGCGCTTCTAAATATAAATTTCAGTTCAATCGGACGTCAGCAGGTGAAAAATAGATGGCAAATTTTGAAAACATGCATGCAAACATTGCAAGTTTGAAGATTTAAATAATAAACACCGCTTAAGATTTTGAGACGTCGTGCAAAATGGAATGCTTACTTTATTATGAACTTCCCGGTCCAGTCCCGATGAAAGACCTGGCATCCTATAAACCAGACGTTTTAAGCTAACATTCTAAGGGAAAATTACAATATATAACGACACTACAGATAATTAAACAAGCTGATATTTCTCACAGTCCTCCATTTTGTTAGGATAAATACACTAACAAAACTGCTAATAACATTACATTGCTTACATTACTCAACTGCATTTGCAATCACTTTGCAACTGCTATTGTTGTTCTTTTAGACCGAACTATTCGATTCTGTTTTGGATCTTCTGATTTTTTATTTACTATTTTATTAATTTTAGTATAAATCTACATTTATATTACATAAATGCCACACACATGGTACAGATCCCACCTAAGTTATAAGCGTAACATTTATTGTCTTTGATCCTATTTCACGTGATCAGGCATAGTTTATAACAATGAATGTAATAATAATATCAAATTTAAATTATATTTAGATCAATAGAAAGACAAGCAGATACCGCGCGTATCATATGCCCGGACCGCAAACAATGCCGTAGACGCCCGTTCACCAACATTCTCGTATTTCAGCCTAGTAAATCGCTTTTACACTGACGATATTAGTTCTAGCAGGAAATTCACTCTTAAATCTTAGGCATAGGATACGATTTTTAGAAGTCAGATTTTTGAGCTAGCAATATTATAGGTGGTACGATTATTTTACGGTTGCATGTAACACGATAGTCCAACGTTCGAGTTGACATGCTTTACGTTATATCCGTGTTTGAAATGCTTATATGTAATATTAGAGGATATAAAATTACAACCAGGAAGATTAATGTTTCCAAATACATAGAGCCAGGTTTACTACAATACAAGGAAAATGTTCCGTAACCGATAATAATTTGTAACAAAATGAGGAAATACTAAAACAGAATTACAGATAAAGAATTGTTAGTGCAAATGAAAAAAAAAATTTACTTAGTACTGGTACTGGACTGGTACTTTTAGTACCAGTCAAACTGGCCTTATGGTAATTTCCAAAGTTCTTTCATAGTTAAGCATGGTAAGTAACTCTATGAGATCATCATTTTATATATTACCCCTATAAAATAAATCTTAAATCAACAACTACCATTAACCAACTAATTAAATTGTTGATATTTGTTTAATTGAAATTTATGGAAGTAATTATTGAGCCAAGGTTATGTGTCGCTGATATCATGAAATGTGTCGAAAATCACGACGGTTCTGATGTTACAACATATGAACCTCGCTACCAGAGAATGCCAATGTTAGATAACGAGGCGTGCAACATGTTACGAAGGTTGTTGCTTAACATGATGACGAGCAGAGTGGCGCATCACCACTTGTTGCCAAGCAAATACCTACATATACACAAATTCTACGAACTTCACTTACACTGTTGTGAACACAACTTTGAGTAAATAAATTCAAATCAAATTTCAATTAACTCAGATCACAGAGTCAATCTTTTGAGTACAATGATTATAATTAGGGACAATATGATCAAAACCCATCGTAAAAAAATTCCAGTATAGTTATTGCAATGGTAAGAATACCAAATTGGCAAAGGAAATAGCAACTACATATTAGAGCAAGGATGTGTTGAAAAGATATTTTAAAGGTGTTTCTACATAAAAACAAGTACCAACATAGTAAATGATAGGAAAAATATAGAGTAATAATAAATACAGAACTACCTGTAACTAATATCATGAAGTGATAATATATGAAACGATATCATGAACAAGT